CAGGTCTGTAACCTTAGTGCTGAGGGTCAGAAGATAGAGAAAGGCAGATATCAGGGACTCACTGGCCAGTGAGTCTAGCTTAAACAACAAGCTTCAGACTCAGTGACCCTGTCTCAGCAAAGAAGATGGAGGGCCACTGAGGTGGCTCAGTAGATAAAGGGGCTTGCCACCAAGCCCGGTGGCCTGAATTTGGTCCCCAGGATCCACATGGTAGGAGAGAAGCAACTCTTCCAAGTTGTCCTCTGGCCTCCACACATTTGCACAGAAAAAAGACAAAATAAGGTGCAAAGTAAAAGAGGAAAGAGACTCAGTGTTGACCTCTGGCTTTCACATACGCACATGTAAGTGTGGTACTTACACAAATGGAATTTCATTCATCTCTCAAGACAAATAAAATTATGACATTCCCAAGGAAGAGTCAGAAAGACACATATCACATGATTTTGTGTCTGTGTATATGTCTATGTGTATGTCTGTGTATGTGTGTGGTGGGGGTAGACAGAATGGGGACAATGTTGGGGAAGGAAAGGGTCCTAATGAAATAAAAAAAAAGGTGAAGGAGTGCATAAGAACAAAGCATATGAGACATGGATGAAAGTGTCACAATGAAATAAACAAAAAAACCAATAAATCAGGGCTGCTGAAATAGCTCAGCTGGTAAAGGTGCTTGCTGCAAAGTCTGATGGCCTGAGTTTGATTCTTAGGATGCACAGTGGAAGGAGAAAACGAATTCCCACAAGTGCCCCTCCCCGCTCATAAATAAATGTAAAAAACAAACAAAATATTCTTTGTGCCAAAGAGGGCATCAGATCCCACTATAGATGGTTGTAAACCACCATTTGGTTGCTAGGAATTGAACTCAGGACCTCAGGAAGAGCAGCCAGTGCTCTTAACCACTGAGCCAACTCTCCAGCCCCCAAAATATTCTTTAAAGTGACAATAAAACCAATTTCTTTGCATGCTAAACAAAAAATTAATAAATAATTGCCTTTTATTCTATATCTTCTGAATTTTCAGTTAAAAAGCACAGGATAATAATAAAGAAATCCTATGGTTTTCTAGAGTACATTTATAGGTTCCCATTTCTTACATTTAAGTCTTTAACCCACTTATAATTTATTCTAACTTAGTCTAGATATAAATCCAACTTTTTCAGTGTCTATACAGCTGTCAATCACAATTTACTAATAGTCCATTTTTGTTGGTTTTTTTTTGTTGTTGTTGTTGTTTTTGTTTTTTCGAGACAGGGTTTCTCTGTGTAGCTTTGCGCCTTTCCTGGAACTCGCTTTGGAGACCAGGCTGGCCTCTAACTCAGAGATCCGCCTGGCTCTGCCTCCCGAGTGCATTTTTACCCACTGATAAGATATACCATCTTCATGTCATATTCAAAATAAAAAATGGAAGAGTAATTGTGCAGAAACAGACAAGCAAATACGATGGAGAGACCGAGCCTAATTTTCTTTGAGTTAGAAGCTCCACCCCCCACCACCCCCCACCCCACCCCCCGCCCCCGCCCTCTGACTGGATGAGATAGTAGTCTCACTATGTAGCACAGGCTGACCTCTAAGTCACTACGTAACCCAGCTTTACCTTAAATTCCTGGCTTCCCTCCTGGCTTAGTTCCCTGAGTACTGGGATTACAGATACACACATCACTGCGCCCATCTTGAGTGGGAGATCTTCATTTTTTTTCTCTGCTCACTAATCTCTCCAGCACTTACCTTGTTTTCTAGAATTAACCTTGGCCATTTGTATTTTCCCAGAAAAATCAGACTTCATGTAGGTGTTCAGATATTTTTAAAGCAAGCTCTAAGAGTACCTCTTGCAATTGGGAAAAACATCTGAGTGTGCTGATATACACCTGTTACCCCAGCACTTGGCAGGAAGAAATAGGAGGACTGCCATAAGATCAAAGCCAGCCTGGTCTATGTAGTGAGTTCCTAGCCACGCAGACCTACATAGTGAGACCTTGTCTTAAAAAAAAAAAGTGGGGCTGGAGAGATGGCTCAGAGGTTAAGAGCACTGCCTGCTATTCTTGAGGTCCTGAGTTCAATTCCCAGCAACCACATGGTGGCTCACAACTATTTGTAATGAGATCTGGCGCCCTCTTCTGGCCTGCAGACAGAACACTGTATACATAATAAATAAATCTTTAAAAAAAAAAAAGAAAAAAGAAAAAAAAAGTGAAACAAATTCTTCAAATCTGTAGTTATTCTGCTTTATTATTTATGGCTATATGTTTGTGTTTTTACCCTTTTATGTTCTTGACTAGGTTTACTTACCTATTTTTTCACAATAACATTTATTTGCCGTATCTTTCATTTTGTTTTACAGTTCACTGATATATGGTGTTTTCTGAGACAAGGTCTCACTATGTATTCATGCCTGGCCTGGAACTCACTATGTAGAACAGAGTGGCCAAAAACTCAAGAGAGATTTGCCTGCCTCTGCCCTCCCGAGTGCTCAGATTAAACGCCTGCACCACAACACCTAGCTGGGTTGTTGTTGTTTCTTTTATAAGCTTTTTTAAATTATTTATTTTTATTTTACGTGCATTGGTGTTTTGCCTACATGTATGTCTGTGTGAGGGTGCCAGATCCCTTGGAACTGGAGTTATAGAAACCTGGGAGCTGCCATGTGGGTGCTGGGAATTGAACCCAGTTCCTTTGGAAAAGCAGCCAGTGCTCTTAACCTCTGAGCCATCTCTCCAACCCGCTGGGTTGTTTTTTCATATTAGTTTTTGAGACAGGATCTCATTATGTGGCTGATATCAAACCCATAATCTTCCTGTCTCTGCCTAAGAGCTGACATTATAAAAAGGCACCACAACATCTGGCTTTTAAAATTCTTTTTAAAATAAAATATTTATATTAAGCCTGTGACAATTTCATATACACATAAAATATATTCTTCTCCTATTCAGCCTCCCTACTCCTCCCCATAACTCTTCTCATTGCCACCCCTCACCCCCTCACCCCCTCCCAACTTCATATCCTTCTTGTAATTACCCATCAAGTCCAATCTGGGCTGCCCATATACACAAGGGACCATCCACTAGAGCATGTTCAACCCACCAGGGACCACACCCCCACAGAAAACTGGCTCTCCTTCCCCCAACAGCCGTCAACTGTCAACAGCTCCTCATATAGGGGAAGGGTTCAGGAGCCCCTCCCCGGTCCAGGCTAGAATGCTGGCTGGTTTGATCGGGGGCAGGTCGTGTGCAGGCAGCCACAGCTGCTGTGAGTTCATGAGGGCAGTGGGCCTGGCATGTCCAGGACAGCCTGTTTCTCCCAGTTCCTCCCTGAACTCTGGCTCGTATCATCTTTCTAACCTCTCTTTTGCAGTGGTCCCTAAGCCTTGGTGGGGTGATGCAGATGTCCTACCTGTGGCTAAGCAAAGCATTCTAAACACTTATTTTCCACACGTTGACCAGTCATGAGAAAACAATTTAAAACTTTAAAAAGACACAACCAAGTATTGTTTCTTCCCTGTTAGAATGGTTAAGGTTAAAAAGGAGTTAGGGACTGGCAAGATGGCTCCATGGGTAAACACACTTGCCACCAACCCTGACAACCCAAGTCCTCTGACCTCCATGTGTATACTGAGGTACACATACACACACAAACACACAACCCCCAAATAAATAAATAACTATAAAAATATTTTTAAAGAAGAAAGAGGTGGGTTTAGTGGCACACACCTAAAATCCTAGGACTTGGGAGGTAGAGACAGGAGAACTGTGAGTTCAGGGCCAGCCTTGGCTATATGAATCCTCGTCTCAAAACAAATATACACAGGCCGGCAAGATGGCTCAGCAGGTAAAAGCAGAAGTCTCGGGACTTAAGTTTGCTCCCTGGCACCCAAGGTGGAAAGAAGGACAAAGCAAGCCCCAAAAGCTGTCTTCTGACCTCTACACAGAAGCTTGGGCAGACATAACTCTGTCTCCGTGTCACTGACATGGATAAATTGATTCAAATTTAACCAAAAACCAAAACACTACCAAAAATAAAAAGACACAAAATAACATACTGACAAGGACACGGAGAAAAGGGAACTTTTAAACACTGCTGGTGGAGATGGAAATAAGTCTACCATATGACCCGTCTGAACCACTTCTTGGAATAGCCCAAAGGGAATTAAATCAGCCTATCCTTGGTACCCTCTTTAAAATTTGTACTCAAAGTGAATACCTGCTTTGTCTTACCCTAGACAAGTCCCTATAATTAATTATTAAAAGTGATGTAATCAGGGGCTGGAGAAATGGCTCAGTAAAGAGTACCAACTGTTCTTACAAAGGACCCAAGTTTGGTTCAAAACATCCACATGGTATCTCACAAGTGACTGAAACTCCAGTTCCAGGGGATCAACCATCTCTTCTGGCCTGCATGGGTTTGTGTGAATATGAGATGCACATAACTTATGCAAGTTCATACATATAATTTTAAAAAAAAGAAAACTTATTTTGAAAGTGGTATACTGAGCTGAGTGTAGTGATGCATGCCTGCAATCCCAGCACTCGGGAGGCAGAGGCAGGTGGATTTCTGTGAGTTCGAGGCCGGCCCAGTCTACAGAGTGAATTGTAGACCTACACTAGAGCTACAAGGTGAGACCCTGTCTCAAAAAACAAAACAAAACAAAATAAAACAAAAAATAAAAATAAAGTATAATTTTTTTCTTTATGTTTCTATACTTTTTCCAAACTGTACATAGAAAGCATAGACTGCTATGATTTTTAGGAAAAATAATTTTGGTTTTTTGCTTTTTTTTTTTTTAATGAGACTGGGTCTTGCTTATCCCACACCGGCTTCAATCTCAACTCACTACATATCCAAGGATGATCTTGAACTTCTAAGATCCTCCTGCCTCTACCACCCTGCTCAGTTGTATGTGGTGCTGAAGATCAAACCCAGGGTGTCATGAATGATAGACAGTTAGTCCCCCAACTGAGCCAAATCCCCCGCTCATGGAAAAATAACATTGAAAAACAATCCGAGACTCACTCAACGAAGTTCCTTGTGCTTTCACCATGCGGCTTGCAGGAAACAAAAACTAGCCTGTGGATGGCCCTGCAGTTCCGAATGGCTTGCACCACTTGGTAATCTGAAGGAGTAAACACCTTGTTAATACACTTAATCCATCGAAGTCTATTACTCCAAAGTTCACGCTGAGCAGCACTCAGGACTGCTAAGGAATGGAGGTGAAGCCGCTTCAGGGCTACCTCATAGGGAGCCCCTTAGCCTGGTATGGGAATAAAGATGGTGGACATCATGGGAACACCCAAGTTGCCCTCCCTCCTTACGCAGTCCAGCACGGGCAGGGTTCACCACAGCAACAGTTAACTTCTCATCTTTCTGCGACTTCAACAACTGTGGCAAAATCTTCTCTGCTCTACCAGCATGAAACTCACAGTTGGAGACACCTGTGGAAGAGCATCATGGGACATAACTTGAGCCCAACAAGCGGGAAGTGTCAGTTTTTGAAAACCATATAGCAGCCAGGGTCCCGCCATTCCCTGTGGCTCCAGTGTACCTCTAAATAGCAAAAAAAGAAAGGCTCTTGGTACAAAGAAAGTACTGCTACAAGTGCTCTCCCTTGGAAAGTCTGAATGAGCCCTCCATCTGAAGTAACTAGACACACAGCATGGAAGTACCTACACCACAACAAAACCTTGACTTTCATTCGAGTGCTCTTCCTCATCCATCACTCGTTTCCACTTGGTGCCTCGAGAACTGTCTGGAAGTTGGGCATGTTGGCACACATCTGTAATCCTAGCACTTGGGAAGCAAAGAAAGATATAAGGCATTCAAGGCCAGTCTAGGCTGCACAGAAAAATAAATTAATAGATAAAAGAATTGTCTGGAAGTAGAATAAAGGAAAGGAAAACTATTTTCCATATTGCAAATTGTCATTTTATTTAAACAAAAGGTTCTATTTAAAAATTTGTAATTTGTTTTATTTGGGGCTCACCATGTAGCCCCAGCTGGCTTTGAACTCCCTAAATAGACCAGGCTGGCCTTGAACACACAGAAATCCACCTGCCTCTGCCTCCCAAGTGCTGGAATTAAAGGTGTTCACCCCAATGCCAGGCCAATATTCTAAGTTTGAAACCTATTGTATTAGGCTGTGATGCTCAGAGTTTATGTAAAGCATGTTCTTATTATGTTCAACATTTTATCATTTCCCTTCCTACCAACTAGGCTTGTACTTCCCTTGGGCTCTCTATAGAATGAAAAAAAGAAAATTATGAAGACCCTTCCTAGAAAACATCAAGATCCAACTGTGGCTACTCTAGAACTCTGCCTCCCTATAACTGGGGATACAGTCTGCCTCCCTTTGCACAGAAACAACTGCATTTCTATTTGTTTGATTCTGCAGGCTGGTAATGGACCCCTGGGTCTCACACATGCTAAGTAAGCAGTCTGCCACTGAGCTACATCTGCAGCCCCTCAACTACATGTCTTCCATTTCTCCCCAGAATCTGATCTAGGTACCATTGAAGGCTGCAGTCCACCTGGCATCCTCTACTGCCTGCTCCACCAGCTCGATGCCAAGGACCTGGGATGCACGCTGAGCCAGAGAAAGGCCAATCACACCTGGAGAAGTAAGAAATAAGAAGAAATCATTTTTGTGTTTTAAACCAACATGGTTATATTTAGACCATCAACACTCTCCCCTGCTATCCTTAAAAAGGCCCTAAGTTCTGGGTAGATGGCTTCTGAGAGCTAGACAACACATAGACTTCCTAGGGCTGCTGCTTGCCTGTTCCGCAGCAAATGTCAAGGAGGATGGTATTGGAGTCCACTCCACTCAGTTCCCCAATGGTCTGATACAGCAATTCTGCACCAGCAGTATTAATCTGGAAGAAGGCATCTGGAGAGATGCGGATCTTCAAACCCAGAAGATCTTCAAAGATGTGGGGTTCCCCAAACAGGAGCTGGTAGGGGGACTGCTCATGACTGCAACGGGTCATGGTGCTAGGAAAGAATAAAGGAAGACAGCATTGTAGAATGACAGAACTTTCTACCTCTTACTGCTTGGTTGGAAGGGGCATCCCAAGCCTCTCAGCTGGAAGACACAGCTTGCTGGCCACAGCTCTGGGACTTCTGTAATGAGTTCCATTCTTGAGGGATGGAGGGAGGTACATGTGCACACTCTCATTTTATAGTTTTTGTTTAGATTTTGAGAAGTTTAAAGCTACCATACCCCCACTTCACTTTCCTATTCCAGCCTGGGTTCCCAGATGTGGCTAGTGTATGAAAGCCAGGTCTAACTAGCCTGTGGGCCTCCACTCTCAGTAGCCCACCATCAGCAAAGCACAAACCCAGGCTATGGCAAGCCGTCAGCCTCTATTTCCTGTCTGGCTGCCCCAGGCTTACCTTTCCTGGAAATAGAGTGAGGTCAATTCACAGACTGCTCCAGGGCCTTTAGTGAAAAAGTCCCTCAAGGTCACCTTCTGAACACAGAGCTCCTCCTGCCCAGAACACGAAATCAGGAGTCAAGCAAAGACTCAGTCCTGACAAGTTCTCTTGCCAATAGCCTCGGTAATCGGCCCTGAAGCAGTCAGACAAGAAAACACGTTTCTCAAGTTCTATTATAAATAACACTTAGCATAAAGCAATGTTCTGCAGGGCAAAATCAACAATAACAGGCTATTTTCACATCTCAGTCAAAGCACTGCTTGGCTTCTCAGCTTCCGACAAATCTCATACAATAGAACCGGCACTTTCTCTAGTTTGAGCCTCTAATAGTTCTCCAAAGAAAGTGGGAGTTATTCTTATAAACAAGGAGCTAAACTAAGCTTCTGTCCCAGCATGCACAGAAAATAACCTTTCAAATCCCTTCATACTTCTCCGCTTTTGCTATCCCAACCACCCACTCAAATATCACCTCAGAAGACGTGAGTCCTAGAAGAAATGAACCAGGAAACAGCAAAGAAAGAATGTGGTGGGTCGTCAAGATGGCTGAGTGGGTAAAGGTGCTTGCCATCAGGCTCAATGACCTGAGTTCAATCCCTGGGACCCGTAACGTGGAAGGAGAGAAATGACTCATGTCAAGTTGTTCTGTAACATCCAATTAAATGTAAAAGATAAATAATGAACATGGTAAATAATGAACTCCTTTTTTCTGACTACAGAATATATTAGAATTCTAATATTGCTAATAACTACAGACTAGCTTGGCATACAGACACAGGGTTATAAACCACGTCAGAGCTACAGAATTTAAAAGAGCAGGCCAAGAATCAAAGGACTCCGAGTCAAATCCTAGCTCTGTAGTTACCTGGCTCTTTAACCTTCCATGTGACTGTGCCTCCATTTGATAATCTATACAATGAAGGTGGTAACATTCTTCTTACACCTGCTGACTTCATAAACTGGCTGAGATAATTTACTAAGTATAGGGATGTTTCCAAATGAGATTATCTGCACTGGTTGGGGTTCTGCTATTGTTTTGTCAACAGGATGCAAGATGTAGTGATCTAGGAATGAGGAGCCTCAGCTGAGGAATTGCCTCCATACGCCTGGCCTGTGGGCATGTCGAGTGGACTTTTTCTCAATTGATGGCTGTTGTGGGAAAGCCCAGACCACTACGGGCGGTGTCATCCCTGGGAAAGTGGTACTTATGTATATAAGAAAGCAGACTGAAAGCTGAAGTGTTGGTTTTGTGGTTAAGAGCACTTGTTGCAGCCGGGCGGTAGTGGTGCATGCCTTTGATCCCAGCACTCGGGAGGCAGAGCCAGGCAGATCGCTGTGAGTTCGAGGCCAGCCTGGGCTACACAGTGAGTTCCAGGACAGGCTCCAAAGCTACACAGAGAAACCCTGTCTCGAAAAAAACAAAAAAAAAGAAAAAAGAAAAGAAAAGAGTACTTGTTGCCATTGCAGAGGACCTGGGCTTGATTTCCAGTACTCACATGGTGGCTCACAACCGTCTGTAACTCTGGTCTCAGAGGATCCAAAGCCCTCTTCTGACCTTCTTGGGCACCAGGTACACACTGGTGCATATACATACATGCATACACTCATACACATAAAATAATTTTTAAATCTAAAAATAAAAGCAAACTGAGCAATCCATAGGGAGCAAGCCAGTAAGAGCATTCCTCCATGACCTCTGCTTCAGTTCCTGCCTCTAGGTTCCTGCCTTGAATTATTACTCTGACTCCTCTTCAAGACTGACGATGAGATGTAAGGTGAAATAAATCCTTTCTCCCTCAAGTCGCTCTTAGTCATGGTTTTTATCACAGCAACAGACAGCAAACTAGAACACTGTCTGAAAGTGCTAAGTGCATTACAAATGTAAAGCATAATTTGGAAAGCTGCTATGCTCGCCACTATGCTAGCAGAGCGTGTGAAGTATTTCAATTATAAAAGTTGGACATGCAAATCTCTATGGAAACAGCTTTTGGGTTCAGTAGAGTCTACTACTATGAGCAAATTTCTTGGGAAAATACTTCGGAGTCTGTGTACAATAATTATCTTGGGTAACCTAGCCACAATCTTCGCAATTTGATTATGCCAGCAGTATGGTTAAGTTATAGTCTTACCAACTCCTCTTCATCCTC